TCTCAAGGGTATTAGCATATAAGTAAATGTAACAAACTTGATTGGAATTCAAACTTTGATTTCTCAATCGAAGCTGCTCTCCATTATTCCACTGTGCCTCTAAAAATGACTTGAATAACCTGTAAAAGGTTGATAAACTGTAAAAACAAAAACAAAATCAACCAATATAGTTTTCTGCTGCCTGAATTTCCTAGAGAAGCACTGGATTTTGAACTTGTATCCCAAATGTTACAGGATGAAAGTTCATATGTCAATGCAAACTTGTTTTTTATTTCTCATTTGTGTTGCTTACTTGAAGTTGCAGAATGTAAAAACAAGCATTGATTTGATCACAAAGAAGAAAAGAACACACATTAATCCTATATACTGGATTAGCACTTCAAGATTTTAATTTAATCAGCTCTTTTTCTTAAAAATGAAGGAAAATATCAATTCAGGGTGATTAGAATCACAAATATTTTCAACACTTATGTTTCTATTCTTGAAAAGTGTGTTATATATGAATTGGCTTTTATTCTATCTCCAAAGATCTGAGATTACAGTTACTTTTAGCTACTTTATCTATGAGGTGCAAGCTGTGAGGGAATTTGACAATGTTTATAACAAACACCTTTCCCAACTTCTTTCATGATGACTTTATTATTCTCTGTAATGTCTTAACAGCACAACTGCAATCTCATCTCTTGAATTAACACCAACTGACTATTATTCTTACTTAATGTTATGTATTCTGTTCAATGTTTGTTGCTTTATCACTTCCATATCATTTATTTTGGTCTGTTCCCTTATTCATCTTGACCTCTTTCTATCTAATCCATGTTGACCTCTTTCTATCAGTTATCCATAGAATTGCTCTTTCTCTTGTGTTGCTTTTATGAGATTTCATTATAAATTCATATTTGAAAATTTGATAGATTTTCATTTATTGCTTTTAAAAATTAATACTTCTTTAAATTTTTTGATTGGTATATGCTTAGAAATGGTCAGCAGCAATCCACTTTTGGATTGTGCAGAAATTAATTAATGCTTAGCAGTGCAAATAAACATTTTATGGTCATATATGCCCAGTTAGACATCATGAAGAACACAATACTTTTTAAGAATAAAAATAACTCATTATTTCTTTCTTTAAGGAGCTTAGTAAAAAAAAGAGGAAAAAAAACAAAAAAAAAAGTACTTGCTGAAAACTTTTCATCCCAAAAAAGAACCATGAAGTGTATACACGATTCCACACATACATCCCAAAGTTCAGCAGGGTTGGCACAATGCTTATTAAGTTTGTTTAAATATAAAAAAAAAAATTCTGATTTTGGGAAATGGCTATATATATATATATATATATATATACTACACACACACACACACACACACACACAAGTTAGTGTCTTATATTTTGGAAGTAAAAAACATGCCCTGCTGGCTTTATAGTTAGTGAATGACAATTTATAAACATCTCACTGGACAGCTGAAATACGAATGATCAAAAATAGCAATATCCAAAATTATTCTGAACGACAAAAGTATATTCCTATATTAAAACACAATAATAGTCTAATATACTCTGAATGTAATTCTTAATAAGAGTCTTTTACTGTTTCTGGTTTTTAACCAGAATTGTGCTTAAGGCATGAGAGCAATCAGAATAACAAAGAAATTCCCAGAAAATGAGCTTAGATGGCAAAAGATGAATTCATCTCATTTAATTTTTTAATCAAATTAAAATTATGTTAATTTAAAAATCAGATATTAATTAAAATGAAAGCAACAGAGGTCTTTTTTTGTCTTTCATAAGTATTTTGGGAGATTGTGTACAATGGGTTAACTTTTATTCTAGAAATTTGGAGAACTTTAATTGCTATAAGGTTAAACAATTGATGCTATATTCTTAAGCAATACAATCAACCAAAGAACTTGTTTTAGAATTAAAAAACACACAATCAATTCTTTGATTGGATTGATATGAAGTGGTGACAAACTAAACCTGAACATTATAAAGTGAGACAGGGACAGAATTGCAACCGTCTTGAAAACTGAAAACAAAGCAGAGCCTACAAGAACAAACATCTATTCTGCACCAATTTGATCTTTTCTGTGTATGTGCATCTATAGACACATGCACACGGTACAAATTGAACCAACAACTGTAACCAAATTGATTGTACATTAGCAAATGGAGAGACAATTTCCATCTAATTTACTTATATCATCTTTAATAGCAGGTGTTTAAAACCAATTCCTCATCTGATGATGTTTTGAGATTTAACATTGCAATACACACACAATGTGAAATGATATATTTTGCCAAAAGAATGATTGATAAAGGTGTTTCTGGATGATAATTTTTTTTCTTTTTTAGGTAAATCATCTTTGTAATTACAAGATAGAGAATTAGTAATAATAATTAAAATATATACTTATCTCTACTGAGTCTTGCATATACTGAAATTTACTCATCAGGAGATAAAAGTATTTCTTTTATTTTCATATATCATATTTTTCTTAAAGATGTCAGCTTATATATATGATATTTTAAAAGATAGCTATGATATACGTTAAACAGGAGCATTAAAGAATCTGAAATTGCAATTGATCCACTATAATAATGATGATGGCATCAATGACATAGCAATATTAGTTTGTGCAATGACCCATGTTGTTGTAATTAAGAATGGAAAAACATAGGTTACTTTTGTTATGCTCAAAAGCCTTTCCTTATTCAAGGCATTCATGTAGAATGAAAAGAAACAGACAGGTAAAACGAGAATAAATGTTTCCTGCTACAGATCATCTGATAACTTCCAACAGGATGGGAAACAACTCCCCTCACACATCCCACCCTCTCTGTAAGAAAGGGCCAAACACTCACATCAGAAATTCCTCATCAGAGTGCTTTCTCTAAAACAAGATCCTATTTTTTTTTCTCTCTCTCCATTCACTTCTTTATAGATGCTTCTTTGGTCAAAAACAAGACCACATGACATGTGCTAAGTTGGTAACATGATGCCACATCTATTTTATCACATAATTTATAACATGTCTTCATGTTATCAAATATGTCCTTAGAATATACCCAATAGTGTAATATATAGGTACAAACAAGTAATGAAAAGCCTAGCACCAAACCACCTCTCCAAATCAGTATTTCAATACCTCAAAATCAAAATAGTAATTTTGAGAAATAGGTTGGGCTGAGAACTTTTCAACACACGCTCATGTATAATATACATTTTAGATGAGGTGCTACTCAAGCGTTCAGGGAATTTGATTAAATTGATCTATCCATCTAATGGCAAAATTAGCCATTTCCACACAGAAAAATTCAGCATTCATTGACTGAACATGATTTCAAGTTCAGTAACTGTTATAACTCTTTCTAGTACTGATGGGAGTTTCCTTCCTAAACTTTTGTTTAAGGTAAGGTGAAGAAGTCAACATCTTGAAACCTACCAAATGACCCTCCCATGTCATACTAGACATTTCACAGTTTTTAAAATCATTTCACAATGAATTAGAGAAACTTCTTTTTTTCAATCAATAATTTCTTTCTTTGCTGATGCCATTTTATACCTTAAGTTCTCTGAACTTTTGGGTGGCACTTCATACATAAGGTGTCCCAAAAGTCACAATATCATTGAAAAATTTAGTAAATTTTATATTTATTTACCAAGTTAAATAATGTTTCTGTATATGACAATATATTACTAGAAAATTTTATTGGTTGAATTATGAAAGATGATGTCATGCAAATTTCCTCTGGTTGCTATTTTACAAGTGTAAGTTTTCTTCCAATTGCAGTGTGACTTTTGGGACATGCCATACATATAGAGATGTATACACACACAAAATATATATATATATATATATATATATATATATATATATATATATATATATATATATATATATATATATATATATATATATATATATATATATATATATATATATATATATATATATATATATATATATATATATATATATATATATATATATATATATATATATATATATATATATATATATATATATATATATGTGTGTGTGTGTGTACATACAAACTGATGCTGAAAAGTTCTCAGTCTAACCAAGAATTTCTCCTAAAAATATTCTGATTGGTTATTTGATTAAATTTTTGTATGTCAATCAGATTGAGAACTGTTCAGCAATACCTTTGTATGTATATAAATAGATTTAATTCAGATCCATATATGAATAATAGGTTTTCGCTTAAAACAAAAAATATTGCCAAAATAGAAACAACTAAAATGTATTTCACAAAAATATTTGGTCAAAAATTGACCAACTGCTTAAAAAAAAAAAAAAAAAATAGGTGGACTGATTTGAGACATGAAAAATTTTAAAATAACATATGTACAATCTGTGTAAAGTATTAAAAAATCAAAAAAAAAAACAAATTAATAAAAGAAGAAAAAAGAATTTTAGACAAAAAATGCAAAAAAAGTGCGTAGATTCGATAAAAATTTGAGGCACTTTTTAAACTAAAGATTCATTGGGGGCCAAACGAAGATTCATGTATGAGCTCAAAGTGACACTTGATTCTGATGACCAGCTGATATCGTCAAACCCCTCCTCATTCAAAGTGAGATCAGTGAGGATGGGGTTTCGAACAGGTGAATGGTAAGGACTTGATGACTTGGTCTTCAAGTATTTTGGTTCGGGAGGCTTGTTGTCAGCATCCCTGTGCTTAGGAGTTCGTGCAGCTTTATCTTTTGGTGGAGAACAAGTGATGGCGGCAGTGTTGGTAGATGTGTAATGGAGATGAGGTTGAGGAGGGGAAGGGGGAGGCGGCGGTGGTGGTGGGGGATTCAAATGGTCTTTGAATTCATATAAAGGTTTGTTCTCCTTGTCACCTTCACTTTCTATGCCAATCATGTTGCGTATCGTCCCACTTGTGGGTTGAAGGTAGCGTGATGGGACCTCGTTGGCTGAAAGAAACTGAAGGGCTTTGGAAACATGAACAGGGTTTACAAACTGACCTGAAGTGTACTTCTGACAGTTCCAGTTATCGATGAGTTCCTGCAGCTCCGAGCGTTGTCCGAGAAGGTCATCGATGCTAACGCCACGAGCCTCAGAATTAAGCATGAGGAAACGGGATGGAATACGTGACGTTAGTGCATTGTTATCTTCAGTACTCCCAAAACCCAAACTCATGAGGATTTCTTCAGGGTCTGCTTCCCGACCCTGCAGAAGAATTTCAATACTGAAACAGAGAAAAAAAAAAAAAAAAAAAATCAAAATAAATTATTAAGAACAGTATTAATTAATACGCTTACAACTTACCAATTTTGAAACCTAACATCAGTAAGTTGCTTGATTTATTGAAAAAGGATTTCTCTTTTTGAGTCATTAATTGTTACAGTAAACACATATCCATTTAAGAAGGATGTAAGGATAATCCATACTTATACTGGGAGCTAACTGCCTTAAAATCAATAGAAAATGAATTCAGTAAATGTGTTTTCTCATCAAACTTATTCAACCTTTAGATCTTAAGAAAATGCAAAAACCTACTAGGATTTCATTATTGGTGAACACAATTTTAACAACATGTGATTATGCAGATGTCAGTGTTAATAACAGACATAGAAAGAAAACTATATAAATTCCAGCAGAGGGTAGTAATAAAAAAGCAAAAAGAAACGACTAACCATAAACTGTTAGAGGTCAGAATGTATGATTGTCAGCAAAATGAACAACTCAAGATGCAAACTATGAATTGGAGATAGCAAAATCAAGCAAGTAAAAAACTTAAATGTCTACGCAGTATTTTAACAAAGGCCGGGAAATGTGATGCTGAAATCAGAAGGTAGTTTGGAATAGCAAAAGAGATCTTTCAAAAGTTAAGCAAAGTATTAAGAACCAGGAAAATTTTATTAGTAGCAAAGAAAAGAGTGCTGAATTGTTCTGTAATATTGGCTCTTCTGTACAGCACTGAATGCTGGACAATATCCTCAGAAGAATGCTTGGAATATGATAGACTGAACATGAGTAACAAAGAATTTTTAATGAAAGTGGAAACAAAAAGGACACTTCTACATCCTTCTGTAGAACCATATTTGCTTCAAGCCTTTTCTTAATCTGTAATGAGACTGTCCAGCATTCACTGCCATATTGGAGGACCAATATCCCATACATGATTAGAAATGATTAAATTCTTCACACCTTCACTGCTGCATTGTCATAGCTTTATTGGCTGACTGTGCTGGCCTGTTTTAAGAAAAATAAGATGCTGAGGACAATTTCTTATGAGTGCCACCATTTTGGTTTTGATCAGACTGCTGTACAGACTAAACTAAATGATAATAACACAATAAAAATACACCAGAAAACAGGATTTATTGTAGGCTACTATATACCTATACTGGTTTGAAAATAGCACTATAATAAAAGCACTTGACCAACATTTCATGGTATTTTGAAAACATATATATATGTCAACAGCAGACAATAAAAATGTATGTGTACAGTATTTGTGGTGTTAAATAAAAAACACAAAAACAATATATAAGTATAGATGAATCATCAGTTGAATATTATTAGTGTTTTTTCTTGCTAAATTAGCAATGTGTCTGTCATATGGCTAAAAACCATTCTTATTGTCATCCATGATATCACAGGTAGGATTTATTAAACAAATTGAACAAAACTTTCATTTATTCTGATAACATAAAATAATATAAGAGAAACAAATAAATCTCAACATTTCTATTTCAGATTTAGTGTGTGACTATAAACTGTTTGTATACACTGTTCTGCATGTTTATACAATAACTAGTTGTTAATGATATCATAGGTAGAATTTATGAAACAATTTATTCACTCTTACAAATATAGGGATAGACCAAATTCTACAAGTTGGGAGAAATATTACTAAGCATGTCTGGATCTTGCATAGGCAAGGTAATGGATTTTCAACATGATATAGTCTGACTTTATAACGAACATATTTTGTTTCACTAATTGCAGATTTTCTTTTGAAGAGCATTTTATTATCTTATTACTATAAAAACAGGACCTTAAATAGGTCCTGTTTTTATAATAAATTTAAAATGTGATGAAAGTGGAAAAGGAGCAAAGATAAACTCACCATAAATAGTAAATTGAAAAAAGAAAGATAGATAAAAAAAAAAAAAACATTAATAACTGACAGTTCTCTTTTTGGAGCCATGTTTTTATTCAACAAGCCATTAAATAGCACATTAAGATTTACAAGCACTCTTTTGTTATTTAACTGCGGATTAATTTGTATGTTTCAGTTTGTGCCAGTATTTGTTTTAGAAATGCAATTTTTTTAAAATAATAAAGCTACTAAGACAGAAGGGATTACTGAGGATGATGGAAAATACAATGAAGGAAACGGAAAATGTTACTGAAGAGAAAGGACAAGAAAAAGAAACAAAATAAAATAAATAAATAATCAAAGACAAAAGAAAAGAAAATTATAAGTGCATTCCATAATTCTTCTGATCTGGAAAAATTTATCTAATAAACTAAAATAATTGCATGCATTTTTTTTTTTAACAGTACAGTCCACCCTGTACAAGGTCCAGGTGCCACTTAAGGTAGAAGGTTAAGTTAAGAAGCATTTTATATGGATAAGAGGGGAAGATAATGGTTAACTCTAGCTTGAATAGGTTAAGATTGTAGTGACTGGGAAACATCCTCTTGGAAAGCAGTTTCACAGATCGGTGGTTTGTAGGAAGAAGTTGTCTGAGTGGAACTTAACTTCTCACCGATGGAATACTGAGCAGCTCTTGCCCAAATATGGCAACAGTACTCCATTTTCGGCCTGATCTGGCTCTTATAAAGTTAGAGGATAGCGTGAGGAGTACAGACAGCTGACCATTTTACCTGCATCTTTAGAGATGGACTGTATGTACGAGTTCCACTTGAGGTCCAGGTGTGAATTAGAGGCACAAGAGCCTCTCAAGGCATTGTGCTTCCTTGAGGGAACACTCATTCATTGTGTCCAGCAGTAGTTTGGGGTCTGATCGGTGGTAATGGAATGTAACTAGTTTGGTTTTCGAGGCATTGAATATAACCAACTAATTTTTTCGCCCACTAGGAAGTTAATGCTACAGTGGAAGAGAGATTACTTGCCAATCCCTGATTTTCAAGAATTTTAGAGGTGCACCCATATATCATCATATCATTGGCATAGATGTTTACAAATAATCTAAGTATATTCTTTGGCAGATCATTAATGTAAATCAGAAAGAGAGTTGGTTCAAGAAATGAGCTCTGTGAGAAGTCTGCGTTGACTGCCAAGGAGTCGGAGGACTGGTCGTTAATAACTACCTTCAGGGATCTCCCTCTTAGGAAAGATTTTATAATTGAGAAGACACTTCGAGTGATTCCACAGCTGGAGAGCTTGTGTAGCAAACCTATGTGCCACAAACTTGTCAAAGGCCTTCGAAATATCTAATGTTATGGTCCTCGTGGTGTTTTGGTTGTTAAGAGCCTCACTAATTTTGTGTGTAAAAGTAGTTAAGATATCAGCAGTTGATTGAAACGATAAAAACCCATACTGCTCATCACACAAGTGGTTGTTACTACTTAGGTTTTTGATGACCTTCTTGTTGATTATAGCCTCAAAAATCTTACTGAGGAGACTGATGGATCTATACTGGGAAGGGAGAAGATTGCTTGCCCATGTTCTTGAAGACCAGGCATATGCTTAATTCCTTCCATTGGCTTGGGAAGCATGTTTACTTCAAGCAGCAGTTGAATAACTTCACTAGGATCAGGGATAATTCCAGGTTGATATTCTTAAGGACAACCAATGGAATCTAATCTGGTCCAGTAGTTTTCTTTGGGTCAAGGTTTTTAATAAGTCTAGTGAAATGTGAAAAGTTGGGAGAGGATGGCCTTTGTCCTCTAACATTGAGTTTGAGGCAAAGAGCTTCAACTTGTCTGTTAAGAAAGATATGACATTGGGGTAATTTATAACCACTTTCCCTCTGTTCATAATTTAGTTGGTGATATTCCAGAATTCGCAAGATCCAATGTGCTTGTTGTAGATTTAAAAAAAAAAACAAACAAAAAAAAAAAAAACAATGTTCAATTAGTAAATAAAATTATTTCGTGTCATATGATTTGTTTATTTACTACAAAGTTTTAAAAGCTGGGTGAATGTTGTCTAAGTGTGGTGATTCCATAATTTTAGCCAGGGGTAGTATATTTTCAAACCTTATTTCCTTTCTTTCTGACATTATGTGATGGTAAACATTAGCAAACAAAATTGGTTTTTAGTCACCAGAGACACAGGAAAAGAAGATAGACATGAAAGCCAAATGCACATCAACTGTTATGCAAATGTCATATAGCATCAAAAGAGACCTGCATCCTGGTTAACGACAGGATTACAGAAATGGTGGAACAAAAACTCCAATTACTCTATTTTTCAAAAGGTCTGACTGACTAACTTCAGTAAATTTAGACAAGTTACAGGAACACTGTTTTACTAAATGTGGTTCCACAGGCATGCCAAGTATTATTTATTTAGATTTAGGTTCTCCTGTGTTGTTGAACACATTGGGCAGCAAGCTCTGTCCATTGTCTTTGGTCAGCTGCTGTTCTTTTAATAAAATGCCCTTTGAGATTCATTACATTTAGACCAAAGATGCTGGAGAGAGCACTGAGAATATCATTGACTGAACATGATAAGAAAAGAGGTCTTGGAGAATCTAATACTCTCAGGGCAGAGTGAACACAAAAGAATCAAGAGGAAACAGCAAATAACCTAACTAAAGAGTTTGGTGTGATTGGATGAAAGAGCAGAGAAAAATTATTATGCTAAAGTGTCAAATGTTACTTACAGCTATAAGGGACAGTAAATTGTAGAGAGCCGTGATCACCCACATCCTGAGGGGACACAATACCTTAAGAAAAAGAAAAATAAGTGGGACCTGTATCTTCTCATTTTCCTTCTTATTCTTTCATATTTTTACTGTCAGTTTTATCTCAATGGTATAAATGTTTCCAATATAAAAGTAACCATGGGTTCAGTTTCATATACAAAAAGAAATAAGTAGTGTACAAATATTTTATATTGTATCATCTGTTATCTTTCTTTTCTTCTAGCTCTTCATAAAAACATTTTAATACCTTTCCTCTCCTAATTGCCTTTTAATCTTTCAATCATAGCCATTTGATATTTAGCCAGCAAGCCTGTCTCTCTGTCTTTCTATAATTTCAATC